GGTTCCTGAAGCTGTAAAAAGTAGCCTATCAGCTGTCTAGTAGAGATCGTCAATCCGTCCATGTATCTTGTCGATGTTGTGTCCACCAGCTAACGTCTTGATTGATTTGTGGCGTTTAATGCAAGTCTCCTAACTGGAGTGTGATGAGATGGAAGCACAACTAATAGCGTCTGACGCAGTAAAAACATCCATGTTCAATTGTTCAGCACGAGTGCACGACTGAAGCGTATATTTCATGTAAGCAGTAGACCGTCGAATAACTCGAAACTCGAGTCTGAATTAAAAAATACTTAATGTCCTTACTTCTCTCCGTGATCTCATGGATTGCTGTCAAGACCGATTGATGCCCAGTGCCCAGCAAATTATAATGTACTCCTAGATCAATCCTTTCGGAGTGCATAACTAAAACGTCTGTGAAGTGAATATAACGTGCCAAAATTTAACGCCGACTCGCTCATGCCGTCAAGATTTAAAGTCTTGTGACTATCGTACAACCAATTACATGCCAGAGGTTGGTCAAGGTCCTTAAGACGAAAACCAAGAAATAAACTAACAGTACCTAACTTTTAGTCGCTACCGGGTCTTTTGATACGAATATTACTGAAGACATAGAGCGGCCCAGCCACATGTGTAACAACAATGATATTCCCCTGCTGCGTATTGGGACACCAGTGTACTAAACGCAATAGTTGACGCAGTTTCGATAAAACGTATTTAACTCGAAATTTCGTTGGTAAACATTCTCTTATAGATTATGTGCGTTCACGTGAAAGCTTGATTATTAAATAAAATCAATCTACGAACAAAAATGAACTGGCGCCAAACTAAAGCAGCAACTACTGAAAGCCTTACGCAATAAGGGGAATAGTGGTGCAATCCTGGATACGCGGGAACGCGCTAATATCACTAGTAAACATCTCATCGCTGGGCTAAGAAAACTCAACAGTCATCGCCATCAAGGTGAAGATTTATGCAAAATTATATTGTTTGAGATGTAGAGCCGAAGATGTCAACTACGGAACCATTCAAATGATAAATTGATGCCAGAGAATTGCTGCAACTTCAATGCCCGTAATCGTTTCAGCATCATCGTTCACGTTCATCGTAATTTTTGCACCGGCGAGCTGTCCACCATAAATTACAGTTCACGTGATAGTTCTTCGGTCTAAAATTTAAGTTATTTCTGGTTAAGTATAAGCCAAACACAGTAGCAATTTAACATAGTCTATAAATTTCAAATTCTATAAATCATCTCACTATTTTGTTATGTATTTAACTGAACTTTACAATGCAGCACAGCTATTCCACTCACTGCAGCAGGGCTTCCCGAACATCTTTTTTTTTTTTTTTTTTTTTTGCTATCGCATACCGGTACCACTTTGAAGTTCCCTGCAGTCGCTGCGTACCACTAATGTTATAATTGGTCGCTGATACTGTGTAGGATTCGCTGCTAATATGTGCCATTCTACTCTGATGGTGATAGTAACAGTGGGCCATTGAAGGGCGTGTGGCTACAGCTGAAAATCCTTGCCAGATTACCTTGCTTTAGAGTTGGGAAGTGAACAAGTGTTCGTGAAAAAAAAATCCTACAATCTTCAACACGAAAGTGTTCGCGCACTCCTGTACTATGAAATGGTGCCGCGAAAATTTTACCGAATTTCCTAAATTTGTTAGAAAATTTCTCTTTTTTCGTCATGCTCGGAAATAATTTTATCTTCCATTGTTCGTTATCGAAAGTTCTTGAATTTTTTAACATAGATTCTTGCGGTGACCTCCTTTACTGATTAATGACGGTAATTCCAGACGAGCGCGCCAAGCAAAATAATCGGCTCTGTACGTCAATCGCAGCCATCAGCCCGGTCGACAGTCGGGGCTGCTACACGCGTGCTATTTGCTTCGCGACAGTTACCATTATATTATTATTATTATTAAGTTTTTAGAAAACTTGAGATAGTACTGTTGACACTCTCTATAAAAATAAAGTCCGATTTATTATTTTTGCAGTATATTAAACGTGAAGCCACAGTGTAATATTGTTATGTGAGCAATGCAGCTTTTTCAAATACTTACATCTTACTTTCACGATTAGAAACTTGACAACTCCGGCGTATATGTTGCCGGTGACGGATGTTCACGTTTGATAGGTGACAATACTTGACAGTTGACATGGTACTACTATCGTACAGTTGTGTGTGGTATTAACTTTGATTAAGTTGATTCGTTAATTTTTTTTTTTTGTAACAGCTTGAGATACTTAAACTGAACTTGATTCATTTTTCTATTTTTACTACAGCACTGTTACTCTTCCGACGAGCTTTCGAAGACTACAAACGATTGCAGGGGAGTGTCAGTTACAAAACGGCTATTGCTGCACGTGAAATACGTACGTGGTCCGGTATTGCACCATCTGCGTAACACAGACTATTATTATTATTATTCTACGAAACAGTTATCTGGATTTATCGAGATACTGAGCAAGTTTTATGCTTGGCCTAACCATCATTTCCATGATCAGTGCTGCTCACTTAATTACGTGCTCATCGAGCGTAAGCAGTCCACTGCGAGTCCGATGTTCCTTGACAATTCCATTCAAGTCTGCCTCAGAATATCCTGAACAGGCCTGAATCACTGATGACCTGAGCGATGTAAGAGGATTATTTGGTGACGAAGGCTGAGACGGATTCTTCTCGAGACGAAAGCCTCGTGACGCACAGCAATTCATCACGACTACGATTTATCGAGTTAATGAACCAATGTTGAAGATTTTGTAAATTTGTGATATATATTGTAGAATGCGATGACATTTACTTGATCGGAGTATCGCGTCCGCGAGGGATCCCTCCAGCGGATATCGACAATTAAGGGAGGGGGTTCTATATGATTACGTATGGAGGGAGGAGGGAGGAGGGTGATTGGTGAGCCTTCACAATGATGTGTGAAGCGCTGCATCATGCACGCAAATTGTGCTCACCATTGACATATACAGCCTGTGTTTTTTGTGTGCTTGAACACGTTGAAAAATCTATGTGCTATGCTGGCCGCCACTGTAGACAGGGATGCAGGCGTGTATCACTGGCCGCCACTGTAGACAGGGATGCAGGCGTGTATCACTGGCCGCCACTGTAGACAGGGATGCAGGCGTGTATCACTGGCCGCCACTGTAGACAGGGATGCAGG